GCATGATGTCAAAGCTCCACCCCCCGCTCAAGCAGAATTTCGCCATACTGGGAGAAGAACGCGGCGAGATGTTCCCCGATAACCTGAGGAGGGACCGTATACTGTTACCCTGGTCCTTCGTCGGCCTTCGTACTCCGTCCGCAGTATTAATTCTTTAGTTATAAGCTCGCGACTAGCCGCGGCGACGCAGTCTTCCGATGTGGGCAACAGTACGCCCCACATGAAACATTTAGCTCCCTTAACTATTCTGAGGGGCTTAAACCCCAAGGACTCTAGTGCTTTCAACACTGTGTTTTTCGTCGAGCGACAAATTTTGCGCGTACGCTTGTCGACGACGAAAATTGACACTATTTTTTTCTCAATTTTCTTTAGTTCTTGGGGGTCTTCTAAGAGTCCACCTTCTACAACAAGGTGAGCGTAACTCTTAGCACGCTCCAAGAACTCCGCTAAATTGATTATGCACTTTGGTGGGGACGACCAACAAGAGGGCGATTCCCCGGCCTCGGGTTTATCTTGCGGGTTATTTCTGGTTTCTTTTTCATTTTGGGAATTTTGGCCATTATTGGCCTCCGTAGATTTTTCTTTTTTATTATTGCCATTATTGGCCTCCATACCAGTATTTCCTGGTTTTTCTTTTTTCCCAGCGGTTTCATCGTCGCTAGTGGAAGTAGGGTCAAGTGCTGGATATTCTTTTATATTGTCTTTATCCGGGGGGTCTTTTTTGGTGGGATTAAATAAATGTTTTCGTATAGCCTTCCTATAGTCAGATAAATTTGGCTTTTTTTAATGACTAAAATGAAGGTTTTTTTTTCTTCTTTTCCATTTTTTAAATATTAAGAAGGAAGGGGAGGTAAATACGGGTGGGAAAAAAGTGAAGGAGGGTAAAATAAAGTTTTGCTTTCAACGAGACAACAATTTAAAAAGTTTGTTTTAAAAGACAAGAAAAACACAAATGTAAACAGATAAAACGAAAACGCAAAACAAATGGATAGAAAAAAATGTGAAAACAAAAACGAAGAAAGAACAAAATTAAAAGGACAACAGACAAGAAAGCAACAAATTACACAATAAAACGAAAAGTTATAAACGGAAAAATAAGAAAACGCTATACAAAATAAAGTACGAAACTAAAATTTTAATGATAAAAACAGTCAACCCTAAAACAAAAACGTTAAATAAGGAAAAAAGGACAGAAATTACAAATTAAACACAAAAATAAAAACAAATATTATATACACGTAATTAACAGACAAAACGTAGTATTTTAACGGGTATTTTTAAAAAAGCAAGAAATATTTAACACGTAATAAATAAATAAAGAAAAAAAAAGGTCGGACGTAAAACGAAAAATAAACAGATAAACTGGGTGTGGGCACGGAAGAAAATAGAAACAAGGAAAAGGGTAAAAAAATTAAAAAATAAAAAGAAATAACTTAACAAAAATGAAGTAACGGTAAATATAGGTAACGAGATCGCTAAAAAAGAGCATAGCAAAAAAAGACGCCAAACTTGACGAAAACAAAATTTTATCGTCTAAATGTTTGTTATTATTAAAAAGGTCAAAAAGATTTTTGGGGTATTTTTTTTCCAAATCGTTCCTACGTCCGAAATTTTCGTTAAAAATCTAGTTTTTTTTGAGTCAAATTGACAAATTGACCATTTTTTTCCATTTAAAAAAAAATGGAAATCTGACTTTGAAAAAATATCAATTAAAAAACTTATTTTAATAAAAACAAAATTATAATGTTTATATTTTGAAAACTTAACAAAGCTTTTGTAAAAAGATAATTTGAAAATAAAACAAAACAGGTCAAAAACATGTGATGAATGACAAATTCCATGAGGCTAATTTGTTCTATTGGAAAAAAAGGAAATAATTTACATTTACGTGAACAAATTATTTACCCTGTTATTTTTAACGAAAACTTCAAAAAAGCTTTCCCCTTTACGTTTAATGCTTTATGGGAAATATATTGTAAAAGAAATTAAAAAAAAACTGTTAAGAGTGACATTAAATTTCATATTTCTACTAAAAAATACAAAAAATATAATTTTATGTACATTTATTACATTCTACTGTTAATTTGCATTCAAATTAATTTTGATATTTCATTTAAAAAATGTCATAACTGAGATTAATATAAAAATAAGATCAAAATTTCATATGATACTGATACTTGTAGGTACCCTTCTCAAAAATTGAAAAATCAAATTAACTTCTCCACACGTGTTTCAAAAACAGCGGAGAACAATGCTTAACTCAAATAACGCAACTTTAATTATATTCTGGTTGGTCTTCCGTATTTTATAAAAGCATTATAAGCACAAAATTACAAATTACCTTCTGATTAGTCAAAATGATACAATTTAAAACGCGCTAAAAAAGATCTATCTCATAAGGAAAAAGCCGATGGAACTAATTTAAAATATTTTAAAATTAAAAAATCTAAAATTAATGAAAAACAAATAATTGTATTAAAATTCATTTTTCACGTTTTTTTGCTTTCAAAAATATTGTCCATATTCATAAACAACTAAAAGCAAATAAAAGCATTTGAAATTAAATAATATATTTGTTTTATTTTTTTGTAACAATTCAGAGCTGATTTAAATCCAAAAAAAAAAAAAACATGATTTGCATTCCCTCAAAGCCCTGTGCTTTTTAATTATTGTAATCAATAAAACCGATGCGAAATTTCTAAAGGGTTTAAATAAATATTTTAAAAAATATTTCTACCATGACTTCAAAAAAAAACATTTAAATACAAATAGTTTCTGAAAGTTTCATTAACATCCGATAATTATTTCTATTTTTGCACGATTTTTCAAATAATGTGTGTCATACCAAAAAAATGAAAATTAAATTTATAGTTCCGCTAACAAATAAAAAGATTTTTTTAATCAAAATTTAGAATGTTTAAAAAAAAAATTTTTAAAATAATTTAAAAAAAAAAACTTTGGTCTTTCCTCTTAATAAACATAAGCATTTAGAAAATAAAATTTAATTTTCGGCAAAAAGCTAAGATTTTGTGGAGGTACCTAGGTAAAAAGAGGAAAAGGAAATGAAAAGGAAAAAAATCAAATGGTCAAAATAAGAACGTTAGAAAAATGACAAATTTAACCAAAAGTCAAAAAGTAACGTTAGAAAATGGTAAAAATAAATCAAAACTTAGCTAAATTTAAGGCAGTCAAAAAGTTCAAGTAATCCTCTGAAAGACAGAATAAATGTCTAACACGGTTAGACAAGAACCGGTGGAAAAACCAAAAAGAATCTCCAACCCAGAACTTCTCCGACACTGTCTTTTGACATGCCACTATTTAACGTCCTTGTTTGTAGACGAGTTCATCTTCAAGAGGGGTGGTAGGTTCCTACACAACAGAACAAAAAGCAGCCAAAACTTACTTCATAGAGATGGAAAAAGGATCTAAGGATAGAAATGGACTACCCGGAGAATTCAATGAACATACTAACGCAAAAGAAGAAAATTACAGCAGCAATCGTAGAAGTTGAAGCCTTGTAGCTTATAATCGTAACTTCTTAAGTCGATAACAAAGGCAATAATAAAGTTTGTCTCAATAGCAAGCTTCTGAATACGATAGAACGCACTAGGGACTACGTCTTTAATTTAGCTTATAGCAGACGTTAAACCTTTTCGCTAGACACGCATGCGTTAATAACCCAACCAGCAGTTCTCGGTTTGCTGTCTATATCTAGGGAAATCTTGCTTGGTTCTTATCTTATTGAGTACTGCTCAGTTATTATTTTCCTTATTTCCACTAAGTATGCACCACCCGGCCCGGAGATTGAACTCACATGTCTCTAACTTCTTATCATCCTATGCACGTCCTTAAAAATAAATAATTTACCTTTATCAATGTATTGATGTACGGTTGTTTTCTTGCAGTTAGTATCCAGTCCGCGAGAGTCGTCCATTGTCTTCAAAACAGATATTGACAAGTAGTTCAAAACACAAAAGTATCAAAACACATTTAATCATTTCTATAAGTTAACACCAAATATGACTAAATAGTACAAAATATGACTAAATAGTGTAAAACAAAACATTCTTGACTAAAATGAACGATTGGCATTTTATCCAGGAAACCATTAACGATAACTCTTGATTAGGAGAATCAGGTGGAGGCGAATTTCACTTCTACTAGTTTACTTGATTTTACTAAATTAAATCAGCCATCGACACTTACTGATTCTGTTTCCACTATTCATTTCATTTATGGGTTCTAATTAGGATTTTAAATTGTGTTTTCATGCACAAATGGGTATAACCCTAGGTATACTCTGGGTGGAGGTTATACACCGTGTTCTTACAGTTGGTAACACTAATAACTCACTGTATATTCTCAGCCCAGTGTATACCCAGGGTTATTCAAGGCTAAACTGTTTTATACCTGGTGGATACATTTAGGTTAGGCCAGTTTATTCCAACGGCTATATAAACCCATCCTAAGATAGAATATACCCCTCCAATTTTCCCATGTATATTGTTATGTCCACAGCCCTAAATATTTGTAGTAAATTGTGCAACAATTCTACTTGATAAAATATGACATAGAAAATTTTATAAATGTATTAAATTTTATAAATGCATGTAGTTTCAACTGAAAATGTGACTTTACTTCAAGTATAATAAAAATATTAGTTCATTATTAGTGCAATAAGTTAATAAAAATTGTTTGAAAAATATTAACTTGTAACAGTTAACTGAACAAGAGGAATGTACGAGTTGTTTACTTTCTCATTGAATTAAAAAAATTCCCTTTATGTTTCGGCTGTGAAAAAGGAAGTTCTAATGTAAAAACCGTGTGACTAATATGCCATAAATAAGTCGTTTGACGAGTGAGAAGAGCATTTGTAAAAACATAATATCGAATGGATCTGTTTCAAGCAGCAGCTCAGTTATTTGAAAATCAATGCATTGACATTTCAAACATTTTTCGAATACTGGAAATCAGTAACTGAATGAAGAAGACTGGCAACAATGGATATTGATAACCTGACGAAACTTGAGAGTTTGGATGTTCGTTCAATAATTAATGTCATTAGAACACGTTATCAGAATGGTGAAATTTACGTAAGTAATTAAAAACTGATTTTGTGTAATAATTATCAATTAAAACCGTTAAGAAATTAACAAATTCTTATTGACTGAAAGAAAAATTGAAATTTTACTTATTATTGGTAAAACATACAGAGTTCTGTTTTATTTTTTACAACGAGAAAGAAATTAAAAAAATATAATTTAAACGTTAACTGTTGGGAATATCTTAAATCTGAAATTAAAATATATTGATCAAGAAAAATATATTTTTCTTACTAATTCTTTCATTACAGCGTGATGCACTCGCTGTATACCTTTTTATAGCCACAGTCACGCAGTCTATGCGCAGTGACTAATTGCATTTTTGTATGATAAGACTTTTGTATTATGAAAATTGTTATTAACATGTATAAAAATTACTATTTTTATCATTGCAATTCGATTTCTTTTCAATTCTTGTTATTTTCTTTTCAGTAATATTTCTTTCTCCTTAAGCTTAAGCATTAAAATAATTTTTGAATAATTCCAAAACAACTTAATTAAATTTAGAAAACTGAAAATTTTATAAAATTTCCAGTAGTCTAAATTTAACTTATATGAGAAAGTTTGAAAAGAAAAAAAATAATTAAATTAAAACACTCAAGCATTTAATGAATTGTTACATTAAGCCTCAATCGTGCTTCATGAGTTGAATTACTCAATGTTCGTAATTTTATGGCTTTGAGAACCTTACATTTTATGAGATTTATTTTATATTGTTCAAGAATTAAATACCGATTATTGTCAATGAAATCAAAATGGTCTTACTATACAGATAAAATCAATAGCGGTGGGTGAAAAAACCTGTATTGCACAATTTTCAAACAAATTGGCATCCGAGGAAAAATTTGAAAAAAAGAAAGCACCAGAAACCTCCGAACAGGGCAAAAGAAATCATCAAGTGCCTTAAATTTCTGGTACAAAGAAAAAAAAACTCAGTGAGTAATAAGTTAAAACGAAGAGTACTCAATACGCTAAGTAGATCAAAAGTAAAATAAATAAATCCTAATGTGCCAGGTACTACCCACATAAGTTTCACCACATGGAATCATCAGGGTGAAGATATTCACTAACCGCCCCACGCGGTCGGATGTGGCACAAGGCCGAGTTTCAGGGTGAAAATTTTATATATCTGTGTGTGTGCGTGTGTGCGCGCGTGTATTTATACTAAAAAGAAAAATAGGAGGCAAGACAAGAACCAGGCCAATGTTTCGAAAAAATTTTAAATTTGCTCAATACACAATTCAGAAAAATTGAATATAGAGAGCAGGTAATAAAATATAAGATTAAAAAATTCGATATTACGGGTTTCGACATAACAGTCTCGTCAAGGCAGTTACTTGTGGATGGTTAATCTGTAACACTATTCATGTCAGCTTGAATAAATCAACAAATCAGATATCTCAGAAGTGGAGGGACAAGAAGAGAATTAAAGTAGCTTATAATATTATAATTATTTAAAAAAATATATATATCTCCATCGAGAAACAGAAATTACTGTTTCGAAAATGGAACTCAAATCTTAAATTTTAACATTAAACTTATAATTTAGTGCTCAGTTCCATTCTCAAGCGACGCTAAGAATAAAAAATGGGTTTACTCTTTATTTAAGTTAAGTTTGTGGTGTTAAAAGAATTCCCATATTTTATTAAGGAGGTTGTTGGGTGTGGAAAGCAAGTGCATCATAGCGTGGCAAATTTATAGTCAGTTAAAGTTGGATATTAGGTTTACACGACAATATATTTGGTATTTATTTATTTTCTTTTATAACTACATCGACATTTTCTTAAACGGGTATACAAATATGAATTAGTCATATTTTTTATACTTACATTTTTATTCATACATATCTAAAATACTATATTTATTTAATTTACTAATAGACTATGTATGGTACTGTAAAATTAATATAGAATTTAATTATTTAAATATGTACAGATATTTATATATATATGTATATATATGTATAAGTATATATATATATATATATTTACATGTATATAGTATATGTATATAAATATATGTGTATATATATATGCATACATATGTATATATGTGCATATATGTATAGATATATGTATTTATATGTATATATATATATATGTATATATATATGTATATATATATATATATATATATATATATATGTTAAGAAATGGACGAGGTCCGACAATTTATTTATTAAAGACATTTTTTATTTATGTTTTAACGTTGTTATTTTATAGATACAAGTATTTAAAATGCTCTGTTTATGATAAACAAATTAAATAACATTTACCGGCCTGAATGTCCGAAAATTTTCATAGAAATATTCGTTCATAGACAGGATTCGAACCTGCATCCTAGAGGAACTGTCATATAATGTACGAGACCACTCAGATTGTAGTTATAGTAACAAGGTCAATTTACTGTTACCATAAACTTCAATCTTCCATGAGGGTCGTACATTCATAACTGACTCTTCCGTATCGAATGCAACAAATGACGTCATATGAACGAATATTTTCTATGAAAATTTCTCGGACATTCAGGCCGGTAAAATATTATTTAATACTGTTTATCATAAACAGAGCATTTGCTTAAATACTTGTATCTATAAATAAATAACGTTAAACATAAATAAAATGTCTTTAATAAATATATATATATATATATATAGACAGTTTTATATAATTTATCTACTGAAAAGAGGAAATTATAAGATCAGATGAAAAATTATATAAAAATCTTAATTTAAACACCTTGTCTGTCATACTTAATGAAACTTGCATGTAAGAAGGATTTCTACGTAAATACACAATATATATATATATATATATATATATATATATATATATATAGCAGTATAACCGTCTTCGACAAGTCTTTCATTACTAGGAATTTTTGCCTTTCAATTGGAGCAGTTTACGTTTAAAGTCAGCCCACCCAAAAATCAATATTAGTAACAAAACTGGGTGCAACTGAGGTACATCCCCAAAAGAGGTGTTAATTTGAAGGGGGGTGACCCTAAAAAAAGACTGTTTTTGTGTTCTTAATCTTGTTTCGTCCTCGCGCGTATTAGCAGCTGAAGAGGCGTTTCTTCTCAGTCGTTGAATCCTTTGATCATCATTTTCTGCCTCGCACGCAGAAGCGTTCAGCCATGCTCTTCTGGAAAACCGATGGCCATGTTGATCCCGGGCTCAGTGGCTCTGATTGAAGCATTCCGAGTCGCATTTTGAGACAGGCGAACTGAATGTTGTAAAGACGATTCGTTATCTCTTATTCGCATGACGGACCTGTCAGCATCGGTTTTGCGTCCTAGACAATTTCTTTTCTTTGGTGGCATGTCTTAGGCAAGTATGAATTGTCAAATGGAATGCGTAGGCAAATACCAGAAGAGAATTCTTTAAAGCTACAGGGATCACTAAGCTCGAATAACTCTAGAAAAGTTTTTATGCAACGGAAAAGATAACCTCACTTGAGAGACATTGAATATATGTAAGTGTAAGCAGAGCTGGACGTAAGATGTAGAAGCGGAATTGCGAAATTAAGCGGTAGCAATGAGCTTAGGATTGCGTAGACAATCAGTATGACACGGCGACATTTGATTTGGTGTGTAAAGGGGCTTCGTGCAGCCAATGGGCAACTCGAACAGGTGTCGCGTTCCGCAGGTCATGTGTATGCGCGTGACACATCGCGTAACACAGCGCGTATTGCAGGGCCACACGTACACGATTTGCTGCACGCGCTAATTATCAAGGTCAACAGCAACCGATGGGCAACGTGTGGAGGGGTGAATCAAGCCCACACAGCATGAGCTACGTTTGTAAGGTGTGAAAAAGTAAATTAAATTTTGCCTTTAATTTTTGCGCAAAGCGTAAAAAAATCAGATTTTTTATTTTTCCCCTTCGAGGTTGTAATTTTTTCCAGCTAATTTGGACTCAAAACCGGTACTAAAGAATTATCTATCAAACAAAAAACATTTAATCGAAATCGGATGAAAGCTGTGGAAATGCATGGACAACATCCGATCACACACACACATACATACATACATACATACATACACACATTTTGAGAATTATAGATATAGATAGTATTATTGTAATAATTTAAACTATTTTTATTAAAGTCTTTATGAAAGACATATATCCAAGAGCATATAGTAAATAGCAAAACATTGTTGAGAGTTGTAATGGACAGGAAATAGTGGAGAGCCATTGTCGTCAACAATTTGGACTCAAAACCGGCACTGAAGAATTATCTATCAAACAAAAAAGAATTTCATCGAAATCAGATGAAAACTGTGGAAATGCATAAACAACATCCGATCAGTCACACATACATAGATACACATTTTTGAGAATTTTATATATATATATATATATATATATATATATATATATATATATATATATATATATATATATATATATATAAACGTAGCTGACTGGTTAGAACATTCCGTTCTCATTCTCACCATGATCGATTTGTCAGGAAGTAGTCTTTTTTTATGGAGGGTTCGATCCCAGGGTGCGTGAAAACCATACCATACTGATCTTGTGAGTGAAACTGGGTAGATGTTCAAGTTGTTGATCACGCTCTTTCCTAGAAGCTGTAACTAAGGTGTGCTCATCGTAGTTGCATATAAACCACAGGTGTTCTGTGCGTGATGAATAAATACAAATGTGCCTGAGCAAGCGTCTGCAATAAGGATTGGCTAGCCGTCCTAGTAGACGGATATCCTCGAATACGAGTAGCCATATATATATATATATAGTCAACTTCCACCACCGGAGATGATTTGATATGCCACATATGTGACAAGAAATGCAGATCGATGGCTGGCTTTATGAGCCACTGTCGTTCACATGACCGATGAATGCAGTGTTGAGGGGGAGTTTAACGGGAGGGCTGGACATATCAGTGATCGTCATACTGGTTTACCTCTCCCCCGCAGAGCCATATATCGAGCCCAACATCTTTGTTCATGGAATAAGATTAGGTGTAGTTGA